AGCCAGCAGCGTCTAGCGACATGCCATACCTCACTGGGTCATGTCTGAGAGCCTGTGTGAGGAGCTTGCCTATCATCACTGTCTGGTTTCGTGAGCGCCCCGTCCAGAAAGCCGATCAAGAGTACCATCCAGATCTGCTAAACTTGGTGTGTGCTGAGTTGTTGGCTGCCAGGCATGCTCTCTTCTGCTTCCCTCTTGTTGCTGTGGGACTTCCTGATGAAATGGATCCTGTGGATCTGTGCCTTCGGCAGCAGCGGCTGGTGACCAAACCCCCCAGGATTCATCACTATCATCTTCGGGCTGATGCAAGGAGGTCGGCAGAGCACTGTGGTCAGAGTCCATTGCCTTGTTTACTCTCCAAGGAGGAGCCGCGAGCTGCCAGGTGGAGTTATCATCATCTTGAGAGACAGCTGACTCCTTGGCAGGTTGGGAGGAGGATCTTGGTGGATTTCTGTATGAACTCGGCTCCTCCGGTCTTTCCCTCGCTATGCGTTGAACTGGGGCAGCTTCCGCAAGGGGGTTCCAGCCAGTCTGCACATAGGTCCCCAAAGGCAGTGAGTCTGTGATGTGAAGCAGCAGCGCCTCGAGCTGGACGTAGTCTTCCCTGAGAATGTACTGATCCGTTGCTTTGGAGCCACGGAGAGATCCTGCAGCCTGGTCGAACGACACTGCTAATTTGGCCGCAACTGCTCGTAGAGATTTGTTGCCTTCCTTCAAGATGGGAAACCATACATGCGTCACATATGACTCCGCCTTGCGCTCATGCTTGCCGGAATGGATGTAGACTCCTGGGTAGCCCTCGAAATATTGTTCTCCTTGAGAGGAATCCTGGGACGGTTGCAACTTTCCCAAATACAGGATCGAGTAGAGCGATTCCAATTTGGTCCCATGATAGCCCACTCTGTCATCCGTGCCGGTGCGTCTCTGAACAACATCTCTTAGGGGAAAGCGCACCCAGTCTTCTTGCATGACAGGATCTCCCAACTTTGCAGTCAAATCGGAGTTGCTGGGACCTTTACGCGTTCTCAGAAATGACCGGATAAATATTTTGGCCTCCTCCATGACATCCTTAGTCGGATCCAGTTGTTCACGCTCCTTGTGACGCTTGGTCCATGCATAGCGGCTCTGGACATGAGTGCTGGTGTTCCAGTCTGATGCCTGCCCACTGGCCCTCCGATCAAAATCAGGAACCAGAAAGGAGATCTTCTGCGGGGACTGCCCTTCGAGCAGTGTCATGCACCGTCTTGTCTTGCTCACTGCTCCACTGCTGGTAGACAAAGGCTGGAGCTTCAGTGTCCTTCACACGTACCACCCAACCCTCTTTCTCCGCATCCGCTAGCACGTCTTCTTTAGTCGGAATCTGCTCTACTCTTTCTAAGGTCTGCTCCAAGACCAATCTCATGGCTCGAGTTCTGAATGGAGTAGACAACTTCGAAGCGTCTTTGGACTTCTCCGCATAGATGTTCGGTAGAATGGACAGCTCACCGGTGGTCAGGTACATGACCCAGCTCAGTTCCTGCTGAAGTGTATTCAGCGAGTCCTCATGGTTGATGGACAGCCTGGTTAGGGACTGTAGGACTTTCTCATTTGAAGCGCCCCGGCCAGTGCCCCGACCCCTTCCTTTGGCTTTCTGCTTTGGCAGGTTCTTCGGTTCAGCCTGTCTGATCTTCTTGGTCGGAGAATCATCTTCATCTGGCTCATCCGCACGCTTGGATTTGGAGGGTGCTGACGATTGTGCAAAGGCCTGCCTCATGGCTACCTAGCTGAATCTATACTCTTACATAGAAGGCCAAGTAAGAACCTCGACATATTTGATCCGAGAGGAGCGTGGTGCGTCTTGGCGATTCACTATCATCAGCTAGGTACGCTACGCTCTCTCTCCAAAATCCCGCTCTGTAATGTCCAGAGTTCCAGTCTTCACCGATATGAATGATAAATGCATAGAGGCTAAAGGACACTGCTTCTGTTGAGGTTCCGTTATCTAGAAACATTGGCATCTCAAGAACTGTGTCCAGCGCTTGTGGGCGGGAAGTTTTGATTTGCTGATCAAATCTTTGAATTTGTAAGCAAATTAGTCTTGTATCTGGAAGCAAGGCAAACACACTACCCCTGTTCGTCCATTGCGTTACTGATTGCTGAAGAGTCGAGAGTCCATCCGGCGGCTCGGGTAGATACAGAATCAAGCCACCTTTTTCCTCAACACTTATGCGTTCATCCGGTGCTGTGATATGAACTCGCGCCTCCCATTTATCTGATGAAAGATCCGGGATCCGCTGAGAGATATGCAACAGAAATTGAGATGCATCCTCCTGCCTTGGTCGTAATCGCCATCCTGCTAGCAGCGGACGAAGATGTCGCAACCTCCGAACATCCGCATGAGAGGATCTGCCAATCAGGGAACCTATTTCCGTTAGGATGGAATTTAAGGAAGGATCTGGGAACAGTCCGTCTGACAAGAGAGAGAGAAGGATATGAACGACCGTGTGTGCATAGCACAGTTGATGCGGATTATGATAAGCCAGACGCCAGGCAGCGTCTTGCATGGAAGCTGTGGGAGGTGCAGTGGTTGAACGACCCGAGACGCGTGCAGTGTATGTCAGCAAAGTAGCTCGGCTGCTGGAGGAAGCCTCCTGGGAGGAAGCCTCCCTGCCGCTCACCTGGCCAATTGGAGGATCCGCACTAAAGAGATCTGGCAGTTCCATAGGATTGGCACAAGCTGCACTCATGGCGTATGTCTGAAGCAGAACCACACATTGCTCTGCATGGCGAACTGGAGCATCTACCACAATGCGACAGTACCTACATTCTTCTTTTTTGTGCAGGAGGCGCTTATGTGTTCGCATGTTGGCAAGAATGGATGCCGAGAATTGTGCCCAGAAAGCAGGATGAGCTTTCTGAATGTGCTGTTTCACTCCTTTGTGGCCAACAATGTATTGCCCACAGAGACTGCAGTTCGTTAATAGATGCTGAGTGACATGTCTCTTTTTTAGTAGAAGATCAGGATCCTTCTTAAGTTGTTCCTGCACGCTAGACTGATAGATCATAGCTATGCTTTCTGAGCTTGTACAGGATTTGGCTCGTTCTTTCAGCTCGTGCAGCTGAGGGCAAATGCCTGACTCCACATGTCTGCGAAGTTGATGCATTGTGCGCAACTGCCTGTTGCATGCCGCACATTGCGGAAGTCCTTTGCAGCTATGCACAGTGACCTGAAATTTTGGGCCTAGCTGATTCGCACGCTGTCCTCCATGCTTCACCAGAGTATGCTGCTGAAGACCCTTAGCGCTGGAGAATTGCCGATCGCACAGAGAGCACGGTACCGCCTGATCTGCCTCAGTCAAGTCTATAAATGCATGCTCTGAAGCTCCAGTTGCAGCGCAACAATCCTACCTCTAAGTCCCAGATGCCACTGTATGTTCTGATCCGGGTTGGACTTCTGACAGGCATCTAGTGCGTCTTGATAGTTTTTCATCTGACTGATCAAAACTGCTTGAGGAGACTGAACCTTGTATTGCTCGAACAGAGTCTTCGTGTCAATATGGCTGTAGTGCTGATGTTGCTTAAAGATGGATCTTAGCATCCTAGAGTATTTACTCTGAAGCTTCTGAAGACCTGATGAGGTGACGCCAGTGGCCACAAGCCCATGCAAGAGTGAGGATTCCACATAGACCCTCCAGATCTCCAACTTCTTTGAAGCCTCCAAGGCCTTAGTGGAGCACAGGATGTGTCGAAGTAGCTCAAACTTGCCTTGAGCTTGGGCGATCCTATAGTCAACAGTCTGGTCTTTGTAGGATCCATAGCTGAGCTGCACCCCTAGATATGTCAGTTTGTGATGAATCGGAATCTTATGTCCTGAGGGAAGGACGATGTGCAACTGCTTCTCTTTGCGCATCGTGTGCTTCTTGCGAAAGATGGACTGCTGAGTGCCCTGAACCATTAGCAAGGCTTTGGACTTCGCTGGATTGACTTCCAGCCCCACGTCCTCAAGAGACTGAAAGAGAGCCTCTATTCTGAGCAGGACTTTCTGAAGTTCAGGAAAGCTCGAGAAGGTTTCCTGGAGCAGGAAATCGTCTGCAAAGACCGTTAGGATTTCCCTAGCTTGCTTGCTATCTGGGCCCCATTTCTGCTCCATTCTGCTCATGACTAGAAGTGTCAGCGCAGACCACAATGCCGGGGCTAGCTTACAACCTTGTTTGATTCCTGAAGAAGTGGGAACTTGAATCTCTAGTCCACCTGTGCCCATGTTGTAGGAGGTCTCACTGTGTAGTTGAACTACCAGTTCTTTCGTAACAGGGTCTGTTCCCAGGCGATCCAAGGCAGCTAGAAGCTCATGTCTATTAACAGAATCAAAAGCTTTGCTCAGATCAACCGAAATAGTGAGTGCCCCTG